GAAAAAAACGCTAGATTTCCTTAGAGGATATTGACTACGTAATAAAAACCTAAGTCCCCCTCTCACTGTGACCAAGCGTGGTATTTTGAAGATACTCTTCCCCCCCTGAACGGGTCACGTAGTATGGGTACGTTCCCTTATTATACTCGAATTTAATGAGCTACAAAACTGCAAACCAAATCTTTTTTCTTAAAGATTCTAATTAAAAAGTTTGAAATTTTGGTGAAACATTGCAGAATTAATTTTTACAGTTTTTTGCACCAAGTCAGAAATTTGGATTTATTGTTCGGAAAAGAGCTTTGCTTTCATAAAAAATAATAAACATTAAATAAATTAACGAAAAATGGCCAAACCTTGCTAAAAGTCGGGTCCTCATTAATGTTTTGGTCACTGTATGTATTCCTCGATTCGAATAACAGGCATTCGCATTCAGATTAGAAAATAATTGCTGTTTATGGAGAAAATTACGATCATATACCAACATCACTTAAGACTGGTTCATAGGCATGCCATTTTAATGAGCTGCAAAGGCGTCAAAATGCCTAATACTGAATACGGGACAAATACAGTAAAATAAAAGAAATACAGAACATTTGTCGTCCCGTATAAAATAAATCAATTACCAGGACAATAGGTCAAAAAAGAGGACTGTCCCGAATAATACAGGACGGATGGTCACCGTAGTTATAGCATTGACACATTAAGTTAAATTTTTGGCAATTAAAATTAAACTCTGGGCAAATAAATTTTAACTTTGGGAAACTAAATTTAAACTTTGGACAAATAAATTTAAACTTTGGGCAAATCAATTTAAACTTTGGGCAAATAAATTTAAACTTTGGGCAAATAAATTTAATCTTTTGGCAAATAAAATTAATCTTTTGGTAAATAAAATTAATCTTTGGGCAAATAAAATTAAACTACTGTAGTACTAAACAGTGTTTGAAAAAGTCAGAAATACACTAACAAACTGCTGTTAACTTTACTTTGCCACTATCAAGAGTTAACCTGAAGGATAGCTGCAAAGGTTTCTTGGTTTTTCTGCTCTGTTGATTTGACTGTTCACTTTCAAACAGTTCTGCCTAGCCTAGTTTCAAATATTCGTCAAACTAGCTGGCACACTTTATTTCTATTGCATTCTGGCCAAATGAGATAAAAAAAACATCCAAAATGCTACAAATCTTGAACTCCTTTAATGTGTTTTCAAACGCAGGTACAAAATAGAGAGAAATAGCCGAAACCGGCCAAAATGTCGCGTTTCTATTATTTTTATCACCAATGTATGTAAATGTATATAAATGTGTAAATGTGTGTATATATTTATATATATGGAACATTCCATGTCAATCGAAACAGAGCTATATCCAAAAACTGGCGCCATACACAAAAACGTTCAAGGGCTGCAAATGTTTGTACACTATTGCTATTTTAAAATCAGTGTGGAGATTTTGGAAATTCTATATAGTGGCGTCAGTACACCTAAAAGTTAAATATTCTTAAAATAGAAATATTATCAAAAACCATAGAAATAGAAGCGAAAAACTGCGCTTGAGTGTAGTTGGCGCACATGAAAAAGTGGAAAAAGCAACAATTTAAAAGGCGAACTTAGCACGGTGCGTAGGTAACTGGCTGAGTCAGCTGGGGTCGTTAGATCGAATCCCACTGAAGAAGTCTAATGAGGAGATGTGGTGATCTCCTAAATAGCTATCAATTCTACCATTTTTATAGAATTATTGTCGGTTTTCCGCAATAGTTTTTCATTAAAAACGGCCTCAAACTCAATCAAATGGTTGAATATAATAGTTATAAGGCAGCAAATTAAAAAAATAAATATTTTATTGACCTTTAAAAAATTGTAAACTTTCAAATATCTGGCAACCCTATTTTTCAAAACTTTTTACCACAAACCTACAGAAAACATCCGAGTAGAAAGCAAAAAAGAATTAAATACATCCATTGAGATTTTCGAGCATGATGGCGTTATGAAAACATAAAATAACTACTTTTTGTATACGACAGATAGGATTATCCGTTATTAAAACATACCCAGCAAAAAACACGATTACCACAGAAACGAAAGTGGAAACGAGCTAGGCGATGGGAATCGCTTACCATTTCGCTTCAAGAAGGCCTTATTTTAACATGGGCATGTCATTGGAGGTAAGCCCTTACCCGCAGCATTACCTTCAAACGAAGGGAGAACGCATGGATGAACAGAATCCAGAGAAGCGAACAAAGAATGCCTTACAGAGAAACTAATGTAGAATGCCTAGATAAGTACATACTTATTTATATTAAATTGAAATCAGAAAATGTCTTAAAAGGTTAAATTTAATAAAAAATTTTATAAATGAGCGTACATATGTATGTATTTAGGCATTTAGATTTTCTTTAAAATCGGTATGTACATACATGCATATTTAATTAAGCTTAAAATTGTACTTCCTCACTCTTGTACGTCACTTCATTGACTGACTTCAACTTCGCTGCAAATTGAACAAAGCAAAACATGATTTTTATGCGAGACAAATTTCCACAGAAAGTAACGGTAGAAAAAGAATTTTTGGATATTCATTCCATTTTTCAGCTGACTACGATGCAGCATTCTACTTTGCATTCCCCGAAATGAAGCAAAGAAGCGAAACGAATAAAATATTGTAGGACATTCTACTTTGCATTCCCTGAAATGACGCAAAGAAACGAAACAAATAAAATATTGTAGGACATTCTACTTTGCATTCCCGGAAATTAAGCAAAGAATCGAATTAAAAAATAAATAGTATAGGGCATTCTACTTTGCATTCCCCGAAATGAAACGAAGAAGCGAGATAAATAAAATATTGTAGCACATTCTACTTTGCATTACTGGCAATGCCTAAAAGAAGCGAAAAAATTCGAAGGCATTATAACGCTATGCCTTCAAGAACACGTTACCACTAAAAGCGATTACCGATTTTTTGCTGGGTACTTAGTAAAATTCTTATATATATATAGATTGGCGCNGCGTGCGCCTTGATGTTGTCACACAAAGCGGAGGGACCTACAGTTTTACGCCGACTCCGAACGGCGATTGTATTTTTATGAGAAGCTGTTTTTCATGGCAGAAATACACTCGGAGGTTTGCCATTGCCTGCCGAGGGACGACCGCTGTTAAGAAAAAACCTTTTATCTATATTTTTGCGATGTTGCTTTGACCAGGGTTTGAACCCAGGTGCTGCGGAGTGGAAGCGCGCACTGCTTACCACTACACCACAGCGGCCGGCAAATTAAATTAGTAAAATTCTTAAGTTAAATAAATATCAGTGCTATTTTTTGAAGACTTCTGAAGGGAAACAGTCTTATTTGATCAAAAATTATCTATTTTTAACGATTTTATAGCAATTTTACGAAAAAATGTATTTTCCCTAATGTAACATACATTGGGAAACTTCAAACCCCGGCGGACGGGTAGATATTAATCGATTTCAAAATAAAAAAATACGTGTGTCTCTATTTTTGATATTCTTCGATCTGGGGGGTGGCTGGAGGAAAAAATTTGAGCCACCCTAATGTACATATCCGGCGCACAGCGTCGATGTATTGTACTAATTATAAACACTGGTGCTTCACAGTCGAAACAAGTTCATCGATCCACTGTTGTGTTAATCCACGTCGAAAGCCGAAAAATAATCCAATGAAAACCTTCTTTTGAAATATACATTTTCTCTTCGTACTGACTACGGTTATACTAAAAAATTTTAATGATGTAAACGTCAGATCGACTCAAATGCCAGATCTGAAGACTTATCTAACGCACTCGTACCCTACTGTTCTCGAAAAACTGTCAATTAAATTTTTTTGTTTTCAGGAAAACGAAAGCTAAGTTTTTTCTTTTTACAACCTTAAGCTTAGTATCCAGCTCTTAAGAAAAGCAAAAACTCCATATAAAATGACGTACAAGAAATGGCTAAGAAATTTTCTTGAGTCAAATTACCTTAAAGCAGTACGCAGGTCTTCAGAAATTTAGTACGCTTTCTACTACGGTTTTCTAAAGTTTTTTGTGAAAAAAGAGCACAAGGCAACCCAGGTTTGCAACAGAAATATATGCCCGTTCCATTATTTCTTGAGGAAAGAGTGAGGCAACAGGCTGTGCGTTATCAAAAATGTCAAAATTCCTTGGACACACACGCGAAATAATGGCAATTTTTTCTTGACCGTTTTCTTAAGAGCTGGATACTAAGCTTTACAACGAAAAGCTACAATTATATCTCAATTTAATCGACTAGGTGTATGGTGTAGAGTTAGCACTGCTTAGGTAGGTACAACCAAAAAAACTAAAGCTGAATTTTCTTTCTTTTTACAAAAAATAAAAATAAAAAAAAAACTACTGTTACAATTTTCGATATGTCGATTCTATCGACTAGATCCACTAGGTTTCCAACAAGAAAGCTACAAATCGCACACCGTCTTCAAGAGTCACAACTCAAAATAACACGTTTGTCAGAAAATGCGAAAAACTATTTATTTGCACATGATAATCATATGGGCAAAGGCGACTTTACCTTAGGTTTATTTTTAACAAATTATAATAAAAATGTGCGAAATGATGGCGTAGTTAACTGTTCCAATTTAAAAAAATGTAGTGCTAATGTGATACGTAATAAATGCAGCCACTTTCATGAATATCGGAGAATATCTTAATTGAGCTAAAATTTGTATAGCCTTATTCATAAAAAATAAAATAGGTTCAAAGAGCTTTATAAATTGACATTTTCATACAACTTTTCTATTTATAAAGCAGTTAGTCTTCTTTTTTCTGAATTTGGTTGTTAGAATATGTGCGACCTGTCCCAGTTTATTTTTGGTTTCTGTATACGCTTTTTTGTTCACGTGCTCTTGAATGACCATATTACAAGATCAACATTTTGTATGTTTTTAATGCACTCCTCCCAAAACGAAAATTACTCTTTTGCCAACCCAATAAGTGCTTAACACGTTTAGTTAATAAAAAATTTAGAAACCTCAGGAGAATCTTGTTTCTTTCTGAAGGGTTTTGCTGGTACTGTCGGCCCGACTTTCTTAGAACTTTTAGTACAAGTGGCTATGGAAATCATGTTCGGAGCGATTTCAGCAATGTCCCCGTTGTCTATTTGTGATATAATTTCGTTAGCTGAGCCACCGGGAAGTTCTTTTACGAGTTTCGACGCATTCGACGTAACCAACACACGCTCATTTAGACTTAACGTAGCAAATTGCTCCTCAGGTGGATCCATATATTCTATTTTATTGTATTACTGAAACGAAACAGAAAGTTTCAAGTCAATCAATCTCACTAGGTACATTAGTAAGATCTTTAAATTAGGCAAAACAGGTGTACACCAAGTTGCAACAATGAATAGAGTAAGCATCCATTGAGCTTAAATACATAGTGATCTTCAATAATAATAATAATAAGTATACGAAAAAATCATCACACAATACAAAAAGAAGTGATACCTAAAACGTGCAATATAGTTAGAACATTTTTAAATATAGACTAAAAGCTTAAACAGGCGGCAGCGTTGGTCCGGATTAACTCGGACTTAATTCGGATCAACTGCAGTTAATTCTCGAGTTGATCCGGATCAACGCTGCCGTCTGTTTATGCTTTAAGACAATAATATAATATAATAAACACAAAAGTGCGGATACGACTTGCAGTCCGAAACTGCCGCCGTGTTCGGTGAAAATGGGCCCCGCCTCGAAATTGCACTTTATTCCTGATGAGTGCCTTATGACAGACTATGTTTACTACTTTGACGTCGCTGATTCTAAATGTACCCTCTAGCAGCTCTTGTTTACGAGTTATAGCGTTCACCTTAGGGCGATGTTATGCAGACGATCATATGATCCCTGGTCACCAATTGTTGTTGTTTTCACTGCACAACGAAAAATTTTTGAGCGAGCGAGAGAACTTAACCGCATGACCAATCGGTTCAAATTTGACCAGCCGGCTGAGACCGAATCACTGATCAAAAATGGGTTGGCTTGGGAAAACAATTTACTATTTGTTCCTTTTAGTAGCCAAATGGAGTATTTTTTAACTATTTATCCTTTTAGTACCAGAATGGTACATTTTTGCTGCAGATGTACACAAAATAGTACATATCTGTGTTCATATGGAAAAGTAGCTTATGTCGAAAGGCTGGCTTTAGTATAAATCGGCATTCGCAGCATACGACTGCGAATGACTCACTGGCGCTAAGCCGTTGAACAACTTTTGGCAAATAAACGTGGAACAAATAGTTCCGATACTAGCAAGTCAATATTCTTATTAAGTCTCATCAAAAAATTCCTTGTCGTTTAAGAAATAAAGGGAATGCCGCATTGTACTAAAGCCAGCCTTTCGACATAAGCTACTTTTCCATACGAACACAGATATGTAGAAAAAATTTAGTGCTAGCAACCCTTGTTTTCTTTGCTTTTGACATGTCTTTATGCACATACAAATACCGTATCTTATTTTTTCGTCATTTTACAAATGTAAAAAGTAGTAAAAAATATACCGAAGGAATACAACTGAGCCAAAGAAATACGCTGGTCATTTGACCTTCTGCATAACAGCATGTTGGTCAAAGAGAGTAAGAATGGAAAAAACGAGAGAAAAAGTGCCTTGACCAGGGATCATATGATCGTCTACGTAACAGCGCCCTTAGTACGATGGCTGACTATTTTTGGATCATTCAGAACAGCTCTCTGTCTTCAAATTCTGCAAGCAAATCTTATAAAACAAAGTTTTGTTCAACTTAAGATCCTAATAAAACTAGATTAACTATAAATATGTTGTTTTATTCAAAAATACATATTTTCTGAACTAGAGCTGATAGAGAAATTCCAATCCCAGATTTGAAATCGACAATAAAAATTAGACTAGTATCAAGTAGCATAACCTAATCATCAGAAATGCTGTTGCGCAGTGTAATCTATACATATGATAAAATTGTAACAGGCAGATGTATGTATGCACATTACAGAAGCCAAATAAACAAATTTTATAATTTTTGTCTGTCTGTATGTATATTTGTACGCACATCACTCGAAAACTAATGCATTGAATTGAATGCAGTTGTCACCGATGTTGTGTAACGACACAAAAATACTCGGTGCAGTACGCCGGATATTTCTAGTACTAATATGCTGTAATCCGAATTTTCATAGTTACGAATATGTAGCTCCGCTCCGCAAAGTACAAAAATGATATGCTGTAATCCATTCGTAACTATCCACCGCGTTGCCAACCAAAAACAGGAAATTCGAAGTTCTTAATAGGTGTTTGGACAGAAGTAAATATCATTGCAAGTGAAGAAGGATATTGCAACGATGCTTCTTTACCACGCTTTTATCATTTCGGAATTTTGTTTGTCCAGACATAGAATATGCAGAAACTAGTCTAGACATCAACCTCGTTGGTAGATATCATAGCAAAGAACATAGAATTAGTAAAACTAGTCTAGATATTTACCTTGGCGGAAGTAGGCAAATATTTAAGAACCGCATTATTACGTTTGTTCCACGCGCTTTCCGGGCTCGGTAATTAGAGCGTAAAAATAAGCTCTCTCATAGGTTAGGTTAAACGGGCAGCTCTGCAAAGAGTTCACTCGGAGGTCGCGAAGGCTCATTGTGATGCCCATGGGGGGTTACCCCAAGCCTATCCCTACATGTCTTCGAACTCTCTCATAAGTGTTAAAAAATGTGTCAACCCGTGCCAAAAGTGCCCAGAGCGTGAGGAACGCAAAAAACACTTTTGGTGCCCCGAATCAAAAAATCAGCTCTAAACAATGACTTTGTGTATTTATCTTATATAGCTAATAAAATTAGCAACTACCTACATTTTTGAACCTTTAGTGATATTTTCCATTTTTATATTTTAAAAAATTTGCTATCAGATGTAAACAAACAATAGCTGTTATTTCAAATTGACTTCCTGCACATTACTGCCAGAAAATTCCGGGCTGTTTCTGGCACGAAGACGAAGACATTTACGATACAAATGTGGAAGGTATTCGCTCTCTATTACCCATTTTTCTAACGTGAGGAACGCTTTCTGGACTGTTTTGGGACAAACCTACTATTACTACGCCTAAAATATGCACTACGCTTTAGCGGAGCCGCACGATACGCCATTTCGTTAAATGAAATTTGTTGCTGCTATATGTACATACATACATACATTCATTAGCGCACACAAGGGGTGGGTTTTGGGGTTCAAACCCCCCCTAAAGCTAAAACCGCAAATACCTTAAAGCTTAGAATCCCGCTCTCAAGAAAAATCACAAGAAATATTTTTTATTATTCTGTTGCTTGAACAAGCACTTTGCTTTTGCTGTAAATTTTCTAGAAGAAATAAATAAACGAGAATTTTTTTCTTGACAGCTGCAAACTGATTTAAGAAATTTTGATAGAATGAAAACATTGTCCTAAAAATATGCAATGCATACTCTATTAATGTTGTGTTTTACACTTTACAGCCTAAAAGAGTTTACCACTGATATGAACTTAACAAGGATTCGAAGATTAATTTGCCAACTTCGAATTCGTTCCCCCAAAATGAGCTACATACATACATAATAAAAATACAAGTTCAGTTAATTTTTTCCGTATTCGAAATAATAAAAAATGAGTATTTAAGTTTATGCAAATAAAGTGCAATCTATGAAACTTTAAAAAGTTAATTTTAATTATTACATACTGTACATAAAATTTGCATAAAGCGAATTTTCAGTATTTTCTGGTGATATATCTTTAGAGGTAAAAACCCCTCCCAAAATATATTCCTGGGAGCGCCCCTGTATACATTAAACTGCATCACCAAAAAAGTTGCGATTTTTCCGCCGGGATTATAAAATTTATTATATTTTAAGACGTCCACCAAAATATTTTGAAAAAATATTGATTTAAGCGAGCTGGACCGGTTTGAAAATAACCCCAAAAATGAAGTTTTTTATGAATAAAAATAGTTTCTGTAAATCTTTTAAGCCTAAACCGTTTTGTCATTTGAAAGGATTTTTTAAAAAAACATCTTTAAGAAACCATTTTTATCGGTCCAGCTCACGTAAATCTTAATATTTTCCCGAAATATTTTGGTGGACGTCTTAAAATATAATAGACTTTATAATTCCAATCGAACAACAGTACTGATTTTTTTTTTGTATGGGGAGTGATGCAGTCTAATATTCGTATGTATATATATATGAAAAAAAAAAAATAAAAAATTTAATATACCACGCTTCTATAAATGGACTAAAAAGTAGAAAATAATATTTCGCAGTGCCATCCTCTTCTTCCCAGTCCCATAGAATTTGTTTTTATAACTTTTGATTTTGAAATTTTGGCAAAATTCATTATAAACAATTTATAAGATAGAAAGGGAAAAACGTGTTGTGTAATTAATTTAACTGAAACATTTATTAATGTACTTGTATAAAGGTTTAAACGTTTAAGAATTATGAACATTTTGTGATCCATAAAGAGTCATTCAAAAGCGTTTTTAAGTGTCGTGAAGTAAGATCTTGGGCTAAGTGTATAATCTTTATTAGTGGCTTCCCTTCGGCAGTTTCCGGTTCTTAGCTGAAGGAAATTATCAACATGGTGTTGGAAAGACCATTATTTGAGGTTCGCGCTATTCTCTCTTTGAATTCCATAATTTTATATTATATTTTATTATTTTTGGTAAACCCATTCAACTCCGACACCATTTGCTCTTCGTAGAGAATTTCCGCATAATACTTCAAATTGACAGCTGCCTCGGATTCTGGCATACCATCTCTACAAATTATGAAAGTGGCCTACAAATTTCGAAATTACGAGACGAAAAAGCGGATTACAGCATACCGATATTCGGATACGTAGCAAAAGCGAACATACGACGAATTATAGCATAGGGGTGAATAATAGTGGCGTACGAATTGATGTTATCACACAAAGGGGAGGGACCTACAGTTTAAAGCTGACTCCGAACGGCGATTGTAGTTTTATGAGAAACTCTTTTTCATGGTTGAATACACTAGAAGGTTTGCCATTACCTGCCGAGGGGCGGCCGCTATTAGAAAATAACTTGCTTGTTTTTTGTTTATGTCGGTTGGAAAATGGGCTCGAACCCAGACCCTGCGGAATAGTAGCGCGAACTGCTAACCACTACACCACAGCGGTCGCCAGTGAACTTCACACAGGTGTCTGGAAAGGCAAAAAGTTTTCACACAACGTGCCACCGTAGGTGTTGGTGATTCTTTAACGTCTCCAGGGACAAGAAATCTTC